AATTACACCCAAAAGGGTTAAAATTGTTTTTTTTAATCATCGGATTTTAGTACGGTTAGGTTAGGATTTTGTATTCATTGATTATATTCATCCATCGTAGGTGGAATTAAGTGAAAACGACAAACTTGGTATAACTTTGATACTTTAGAGCAGGGGGCCCCTGCTTTAGAGTTAAATCATACACATACGTACAAACAGCACGGGGTCCGCGATCTACCGCAGGTAGATTGCCTACCTGATAATGTACTACTGCGATTCAGAATTTTTATTCCGGGCAACGAAAAAGTTAAGATGAGTTTTGAACACCATACACCCAATTTTAAATAACGAATTGAACAAAGTTGGAGTCATATAGAGTTGATACATTTAACGGGCAACGAAGTGCACGGGATCAGCTAGTATGCCTATAAATAGCTCAACAAGAGTCAAAATATTTTATGCTAATAATTGTATGATGTATAGAAAACTCAAAACATTCAGTGAAAATCGCATTTATTTACAGAAATTTTTTTTAGAGCTATCTAGTATCTAAACCAAAAACTAAAATCAATTGTATCGAAAACAAATTTTGCATAAAAGTTAAAAGGGCTTTTGAAAACTACCTACTGGGAATCTATCCTTCATCTCTAGGTATATCCATACAAACCGTCTCCAACTCAGAATCGTTTTTCTTATTATTATTTCATTGAATTTAAATTTAATACAATCCATCATACAGTGAACCACTTGTAACCACTGTACAGCTGAGCGACATCCACTTACATGTTTTTTTTATTCTATTATATAGGTACACATGGCGCCCATACGAAATAAAATATTCACATAACCAAATGTTTTTTTTTATAATTTCGTTGGCTGAAAATGAAAAACAACCTTCAAACCACCGTTTTCTACAGACGGGCAGATACACAAAATTCATAATTATTAATTTAGTTTAAATTTGTTTGAAATTCCAATTAGGTTCTTATAATTTTAGCTCAATATTATATTAAATATAATTATTGTACATTTTGCAATATCACGCCTACTCCACCCTACGGAAGGGACTGCAAAATCTTTTGTGGTTACGAAAGCCATCTCAAAGGTAAGCGAGTATTGTAGTTGTAATAAATTAAAATTATTTCTTTAAATGTAGGTACCTAAGGTATAACTACTTTTTTGTGGCATAAATTCAGTTTAGCTGCCAAGCGATTTTTAACAAATATTTCGGGAAATCTATGTACCTATTTCAATGAGTTAAGGGGCCTCGCAATGGCATTGATTTAAGGAGAATCATTTAGGCAATTTCTAATCTCGTCGTCGCCACCCGAGATGTGTTAGTCGTAAATGATTATTAGTGTGTGTGGCGTCCATGCGGGTCAATTGTAGCTCTCCCACGCACTCGCACACACATGTAAATATATAATAATATTGTGATCATAAAAAAATGCTTATTTGCACTTAAACATACGATTCTAATTCCAACAGTACGTCGCAACGATTACCTCAATTTTCATTCTGACAAAATATTATTATTTTCCACAACATGTACGAGGGATCGATCGAGGTACATTTTTAAAATTGTATTTAGTTAATTAAATATTTAAGTTGGAAATTCTGTATTTATTTTTGATTTTTTTACAATTTTTACTGCAATTTAAATTACAAAAATTAAAAATGTGGCTCGATCGTTCCCTTGTATATATTACGGACAATCAGAATATCTTTTCAGAATGAAAATCGTGATAATTGTCGACGCGTATCGTTGAAATTAGAAACAGTAGTTTTTGACAAAAAAAAAGACTTGGTAGTGAGGCCCCTTAAGAGGACGCCACACCCGCATGTGTTGTCTCCGTCTTACAAACGCGTAACATAGCAAATTACGTCCACGGAAAACAAACGAATCGGCATCAAAAAGTGGTTTTAGAGTAAAAATACCTATAATAAAACTTAAAGAGAACAATATTTCGGAGGGAACCTCATCGGGGTTTTGTATTAATCTAAATACACAGCTAGATATTGAAGGCACAAAAACTCTTTTTTTTTAAATAACCACAACTTTTTTAATAGTTAATATTTTTAAAAACGCCGATGAGGTTCCCTCCAAAATATTGTTCTCTTTAAGTTTTATTATAGGTATTTTTACTCTAAAACCACTTTTTGATGCCGATTCGTTTGTTTTCCGTGGACGTAATTTGCTATGTTACGCGTTTGTAAGACGGAGACAACACATGCGGGTGTAGCGTCCTCTTAAGAACAATGGTGTAATCAAAATTTTCAGTCGGACTTATTAGTTTAAAATTTTTAGCTTTTCGAAATCCGTGAGGTTCCGTATTCCCATGGGTTTCTTTCAAATTAAATTACTATAAATTAAATTAAATTACCCAACAATAAAATAAAAAGTAAGTATGATATGTAATTTCCAAATCGACCAATACCTATGTTGAGGATGTAAAAACTCAAATTTTGAAAAAAAAATCGCTTAGAAACTAAACTGCATTTGTCCTAATATTTCATAATTTCATCCATTAGTTAACTCTTAGGTAAATCGTTAGGAAAGTCAATGTAGATTTCTTTATGGGTAATAAAATTGCGTGGAGGTAAATTAATATAATAATAAGAATACTAATAGGTGCATAACTGATTGTCATAATATTTTGTCGCTGGCTGAAAATAAATAAACATTCAAATGAAAAGACCACGGATACTACCTAGCCGGTCGGTACATCGAGTAATAAACAAATTTAATTATTTAGTTTAGCCAAGAAAAACACTGTGCACCACATTTAACAATTTTTCTTTTTGGAATTTCGCGTCGATTTATATATTATCTCCAAAATAAACTACAACCGAAAGCGATCACGTTATGCGATGGAGAGAAGATATATCCTTGAAGTCGTAGGTATATATAAATTATAAATAACATTCATTCGTGCAGAGTATAATATATTTTTTCTAATCAGTGTGACGTCATTTGAGTCCAGTACACTGATTACTGATTACAAAAAACGATTACTGTACTCGAAATCTCAGAATAAATAATTTTGGGGGGACGCTCGCTCAACTGCTCCACTGCCTTATGTTTAACACTATTACTAACCTTTTGCCGTAACATTGATTTGTGTTCATCTGGTTCGTGATAATGTGTTGTATTCTGTTCACAAATGGCACCGTTAACATCATTTTTTATAGCCGCATTACATGTTTTTTACATTAGATCTAAAAACCTTAAGGGTAGTTTTCTTAGCTTTAGCACAATCAATTTATTTATATGGCTCTTTGGTCTGGGGATGTACATACTCCAGTCATATAATGTATTATGTACAACTATAAAATCTTTAATAAAAGTTATTTTAAATAAACCTAGATTTTTTAATTCAAATTTCTTTATATATATAATAATATATATATATTATTTTATATATAAACTTTACAGATAAAAAGTGGTGTTCCCACATAATATATACAATATGACCGCAACTAAGATATTACCTACAATCGGCGTGACCGCAACTGTTATGTGTGCTTATCTTAAAAATCGTCATCGACCGCGACTCGGATGCAGCCGTATGATGTGCATAGGTGGGTAAGTTGGGCACGGGTTATGGGTTTTGCGTTCAAAACCGGATAAAATTGTTTGCTGGTTTCGAGGCCGAAACCGGGAACAATTGTTAGCGGCCTAGGGTATGGGGTGCTCCGTGGCCTGAGCATGCCATCGGACGCGTCCCCAGGTTGCGGATAGGGGAACGTCCTGTAGATATACAGGGTAGCCGCGAAATAAGCCATACCTTCGGGATGGACGAATAAGCGGTCGCGGACAAGCTCAACGCCGGGGAAACGATCGACCCCCGGCGTCCAGGAAGATCAGGCAACACGGACGGAAAAAAGACAGACGACGCGAGGCTGGCGTCGTCAGTGGCAGGCAAGCTAAAACACAATAAACATGATGGAAACACAGCAAAAAGAAATTGATGTTACTGCTACAGAGGCCTCGGAAACCTCAGAGCCGGCGGGTGGGAGTGGTTCGTCCCACAAGTCGTTATCGGTAACCACGGTAACACGGACGGAAAAAAGACAGACGACGCGAGGCTGGCGTCGTCAGTGGCAGGCAAGCTATAACACAATAAACATGATGGAAACACAGCAAAAAGAAATTGATGTTACTGCTACAGAGGCCTCGGAAACCTCAGAGCCGGCGGGTGGGAGTGGTTCGTCCCACAAGTCGTTATCGGTAACCACGGTAACACGGACGGAAAAAAGACAGACGACGCGAGGCTGGCGTCGTCAGTGGCAGGCAAGCTATAACACAATAAACATGATGGAAACACAGCAAAAAGAAATTGATGTTACTGCTACAGAGGCCTCGGAAACCTCAGAGCCGGCGGGTGGGAGTGGTTCGTCCCACAAGTCGTTATCGGTAACCACGGGAAATGCGCAAACGCTACGGAAAAATGCACCAGATGGAGATAACGATACGCACGAGGGAGGAGCTCAAGACCACAAGAACAACATACAAACGGCGAGTAGCCAAAACCCAGAAGGTTAGTTTATATTGTTTATAAGCAAAACCACATAAAATACACATACGTATAAATATAAAACGTCATTTTCTCTAGACAGATCTTTTGAAATTGTATATTATGTTATATGGCAGTACTCAATGCTCGTCAATATAATATTTGGATTTATTAAATTATGATTTTAATTTACGGAATAATAATATACTCAATTTCACATTAAAAACAAATAAAATAAAAACAACAAACATGAAATCGTGACACTTCCTTCTTAGACGCCAAGCCAAGCTTATATACGCTATCTTATCATATAAAGCTGAGCTTGCTCTTTGAAACCCTCAAATCTTTTTCATTCTCTATTGCAGAGTATTCAGTTGTTGTTTTTTTTGTATTAGTTTAATATAAATTAGATTTGTTTTTGTTATTTAATTGGTATTAATTAGTTTTTTTCCGTTTTATCTGTTCTATGTAAATACCTACCTACTTAAAGTTTTCAATATACAGTATGAACGAGAAAACTTTAGGAAACGGTACGTGCTGGTGAAGAAAACTCTAGCCGAGTTGTGCATCGAAGAATACGTAAGTATAATTTGATATTATATAGAAAAACGCTTCTGCAAGCCCCCCCCCCCCGTGTGTGTTACACGTTTGTCGACGAATGAACTATGAATAATTACTAACTTAAATGTTTATTTAATTGCAGGACGACAATCTCTTTTTCTTTTCTTTGTTGTTGATCGTAACCGTCGTCTTTACGTTTGGCATGGCGTGCTTGGCGCTGGTACTCTGCCTGTTGTGCGCAGGACTCGCGATGACTGCGTTCATCGCTAACATCGTGAGGAGTCCTGCAGTGCAACAGGCATGGAGAAACCGTTTTCCGGGAGCCGCTGGAGAGAAGGTGTCGCGTTGCGTGTCCGTCGCGTCGGACTGCGCGATACTGGCGACTGCGACATTAGCGTTCGGGATTTGGTTTGTCGTCCAGTCCGTCGGCACCGTCATGTTCCTGGCGGTGGAGTTTCTCGGGCCCTCCAGCCGTCAGGAACAGCTGCAGACGCCGCCGTTGCCTGAAGCCGGAAGTCCGATGGACGACACTCCTTTATGCAGCGTCGAGGAGACGTCAACCGCGCGGACCGACACCACGTAAGTGCATTTACCTATAGGTATAATCAGAAATTAAATAATGTTTTTTTTATATTACCTATAGACCAATTACATTTAAATATTGGAGAAAAAGATACACCTTATTTTCAAAATTTGACCAGGGTATTCTGATGGACGAGGGTATGTAAAAAAAAAACATTTATATATATATGTATCATATCATGTTAAAAATAAAAATAATATATATTATAATCGTATGTTTGGTTTTATAGAGAGCTTTTATTCGGTTTGTCCCGAGATTCTCACCAAATATATGGCAGAAAAGTGTGGCCGAGTAAAAGTGGCCGTGGATCCGTTTTGCGGCGCCGGCGGAAACATAATTCAGCTTGCCCGACTGTTCGACAAAGGTATTGTAATATTTTTTGCATTAATAATAAATAAAACCGTTTTCGTGGAAATAAAAGTGAACATATTATTATTTCTACTTAATTTTAATTACCGAAATGTAATAATTATTGTCTATAATGTACCTAACTATATATAATAAAATATTATAACAACTATAGCTGTCCCGCCCGACGGTGTCCAGGCCAAAGATTTGTATTTTTAATAAATATATTTGTACAAATTGTATATTATACCACATTTCTTCTAATTATAATATTAATAAAATATGTAACAAATTGTGCAACCATTTAGATTGACAAAAATAATTTATTTTTTCGTATGCTAAAAAAAATCATGTGTGCGCTACCCTTTACCTATCTACAGCCTATATGAGTTGAAAAATCAAGCTCTATACACCCTCCAATTTTCAAGTAATAATCTATTAAAATAACTTTTATTGGCTTATTTAAAACCTTCCAAGTAACTCAACCGATTTATTAGTGAAAACCTTATAAAAATAAGTAGAGTTCTTTTCGAAATATGCTCGTACGTAAAAAAATAAGGTACAGTGTTTCTCTACAATATATGCATATTATATACATATAAACCTTTCTCTTGAATCACTCTATCAGTTAATAAAAAACCGCATCCAAATCCGTTTCGTAGTTTTAAAGATCTAAGAATTCAGAGAAAAAAAAGGACTTTGTTTTATAATATTATGTTAAGATATATTAAGTACCTGTTATCTGCAATTTCTAATAATTGTAATATTTTCTGTTTGTAATAGTCATTGCTGTAGATATTGACGCCAACAAAATTATGATGGCCAAGCAAAATGCCCGGATTTATGGAGTTCTCGAAAAAATCGAGTTCGTTGTTGGAGACTTTTTCAAGCTGGCAAATCAGATTAAGGGTGACGTTATAGTCACATCGCCACCATGGGGCGGTCCAGAATATAATAAAATGGATGTTATCGGGCCGTTAGATTTGTGTGTGGATAAGATTCTGGAAGTGGGGAAAACGATTGCCCCAAAAATACTGTTACATCTGCCAAAAAACCTAGATAAAAATGAGGTTTGTACATCATTCAGTTTAAATATAAATTGTTATTTATTTATGTGGAACAATAATTTATATTTTAAATGGCTATAGTGTTGGAAAATGTGCAACGGAGTTGGTGCCGGCTTACGGAAGATCGAAAATGTGTTTGTGGACAGGTACCTCAACTCGACGTTGCTATATGTCCGATCCAATAATGTAAGTTATAAGTCTAAAAGCATAGTAAAAAAATAATTAATATAGTACCTACCTACTTAATTAATTTAATATACCCGAAAGTACCTGTGCATAACAATATTATAATAATGTATTATTTATGTTCGAAATCATTAGAACAATGCCGTGACAGACGTCGCTCCCAAACCGGTCGACATCCATCTGTATAACTGTAAGTTGAAAATGTCTATATTTAAAAATTGTTATATTATAATATTTATCTAATCAATTAATTTTCTTTAGCATTCCGGAGGAATGAAAGGTATAGTTTAACAACTTACCAAAGTTATTTGATGGATGTCGATGCGTTGGTGAGCAGTCGTCGCGCATCTTTGTGATGTGAATACGGCAAGTTATTATTGGACCGGGCATAATATGACGTTGAGGAGTTACCTGTTCAAGAACACATTTTCAGATCTGTAGGCCAATCATTCCGTTGCCATTTTTTAATCATTCATCGTTTTTTATTAAGGTTAAGATGTAACAGGATTTTAGGGGCTATTGCCTTTCCACTAGCTTCCAGGATTTTATCATACACACAGCCGACAACCCGATGACATACATTATTTTATATTTTGGTCCACCTCATGATGGCCGCGAAGTAACGGTAACGTCACTGTTTATCAGATTGTCCAGTTTGAAAGAGTCGCCAACAATTTCGTCCATAAATCCGTGACATAGCGCTGGGCCAGCATAATTTTGTCCGGATCAATATCTACAAAAATGACATCCCAACTATTAGAAACTAATAATATAGGTACTTAATATATATTATAATATAATATTAAACCCATTTATACCCAATTATTACATTGCAGTTATTACGATTAAGTAGAAATAATATTTTCAAATAATATTACAGTCGAACAGTCAGCTGTATAAAGTTTCCACTGCGCCACAAAACGGGTCGAGGCCGGTCGCTGAACATGGGAAGTCCTCAAGTCAGTGTCTTTCCAAGTGCACCCAGCATCGTATTTTACGGACCATATACGAGTTCGGCCACACTAGCTTGTCTGAAATGTGATTTTATTGGCTGTTGGACCGGTGGATATGCGGTTAACACTTGTCAGTTTATCACCATTTATTAACACGTGGCTCTAATACACTTGTCTCGCATTCGTATAAAATGTATTAGTTATTACTTATTATACATAATATTACATATTTACATGTATCACACTATATTATATTATATTATTCTATGATATTATATATTTATACAAATGTAAACAAAGATATATAATCCTATATTATACATGCATATTATTCATGAAAATCTAGTTTGTATAAAATAATTATAATAATATCACATTTTATGTTGTACCAATAAAAAAATATGTATGAAAACAAAAGGTTTATTTAAAATATCTATTCTATTACACCCTGTGTATAGCTATTATTAGGGCTCAGATTATATATCTATTTATATAACCAAAGAATGTATTTATATACAACAAAAATATGTACATAAATATGGCCAAAGAATTAAAAATATGTAAGTATTATCAAAAAAAAAAAAAATAATCAATTGCTATCGATTTTTTACAAGCAGCAAGTACAATACAAAACGTGGCCTTCACTTTTTAAATGTTCATATTTGGATATTCAGAAACACATTTTATTGCTTTGCAAGTCTTAGACGATCGTACTTTTGGCATAACATATTGGTGATAAGCATGTAAAATATAACGAAAACTGAGGCCACGAAACTCACACTACGATGTCACATTAAAAACTAAAGCAGTGTTCGCTCGTTCGTGTCCAACGTGTTTAAATATGTGTTAATCGTAATATATTACGATAAGATATCTCATATTTCAAAAATCGTATCTAGAAATAATTGAAAATATAACAGGTTGAGTTCGACGGTCGTTTGTCACCGAGGAACCCTTATTTAGCCAAGTCAAAAATACGTCCAGTGGACCTGAACTCTGAAGAGAAGACGCTAAAACAGTAAAATTGTCTAAATATGTGAAAAAAATTGTGAAATATGTAAAAACATGTATTTATGACGAAATATATAAAATAAAATGTAGCTCATTTTATCAAAATCTTGTGAAACGAATTTATCACTCGCCGAAATTAGTTTATCATGTCGCAGAGAAAATATGTATTTAGATATAAATCCGAGCCCTAGTTATTATAGTATTACCGAGGATTTTCTGAGCTCTTGAGCCCAAAATTGTTGGTGGAAATAAACAATCATCTTCTACGTATAAGTAGGTATGCAATATATAGGTAATAAGAAAATAACCATCCTATAATCTATATTTGGATATATAGATACAAGTTCAACGAATGCATTTTCGATGTCATGTGGTGGTACGAATTGCAACCCGAAAAATAGTCTTAACCATATTCCTAACTCGTCGCAGTAGGTATAATAATATGCTGTTCTAAGTTGCTGCTCCGAATTTATCTGTAAAGTTAGGTAATACATTTAATATTATAATTTTACCATGTGTATATTTATAATATATTTTAAGCATAATCTTCAATGATTTTTTCATAATTTAAATGTTCTCGGGCTCTTTTTATAAAGCCAAGCCAGGAAGACGCTCTTGGGACGTGATACTTCTCAAATAAGTTTCTATAAGTTCTAACTTCTGCGCTAGCTGAAGTTATTAGAATAGCTAACATATTTGTTCTAAGAGCCGCGGCTGAGTTTGGAAAAGCTGAATTGCTTTTTTTTATAAAATTAAGTAGGTACTTCAATAGGAGTTACCGATTTATCGAATAAGTTTTGGCAAATCAAAATTCCTTTTTTTTGTGAGTTGTATGCGTTTTATCTATATTACGCGTGCGTCTGAGAGAGAAAACACAAATTGCGCTGACATCGTCTCTTATAGTTAGTCTTTCGAGAATTTGCAACTACAAGTATTTATTTAGGGGCCTCAAATTTGTCCATTACTTTTTAATTATAGGCTATAACACTACATAAATCACATAAAAAAATCGATGATTATTTAGCGAGGAAAAAAGCTTGTAAATTATAATTTACTAGCTGATCCAGGGCACTCCGTTGCTCGTTAAATGTACCAACTCTTTATGACTCAAACTCTGTTCAATTCGTTATTTAATATTGGGTGTATGGTGTTCAAAACGTATCTTAACTTTTTCGTTGCCCAGAATAAAAATTCTGATTCGCAGCAGTATATAAATGTATATTAATATATATTATATTAGTATATTAATTATCAGGTAAGCAATCTACCTGTGGTGGATCCCGGACCCCGTGCTGTTAGAACGTAAGTGTATGATTTAACTCTAGAGTGTCAAAGACTAAAGTTATACTAAGTTTATCGTTTTTACTTAATTCCACTTACGGTGGATTAATATAATCTTTTTTTTTGAAACATACCTACTTATTTCAACATGTTA